ACTATGTTAATGTTACTGTTAATGTTACTGTTAATGTTACTATGTTAATGTTAATGTTAATGTTACTGTTAATGTTACTGTTAATGTTACTATGTTAATGTTACTGTTAATGTTACTGTCACTGTTAATGTTACTGTTAATGTTACTGTTAATGTTACTGTTAATGTTACTATGTTACTGTTAATGTTACTGTTAATGTTACTGTTAATGTTACTATGTTACTGTTAATGTTACTGTTAATGTTACTATGTTAATGTTACTATTTTAATGTTACTATTTTAATGTTACTATGTTAATGTTAATGTTACTGTTACTGTTAATGTTACTATGTTAATGTTACCGTTAATGTTAATGTTACTGTTAATGTTACTATGTTAATGTTACTGTTACTGTCAATGTTACTATGTTAATGTTAATGTTACCGTTAATGTTAATGTTACTGTTAATGTTACTATGTTAATGTTACTGTTAATGTTACTATGTTACTGTTAATGTTACTGTTACCGTTAATGTTAATGTTACTGTTAATGTTACTATGTTAATGTTACTGTTAATGTTACTATGTTACTGTTAATGTTACTGTTAATGTTACTATGCTAATGTTACTGTTAATGTTACTATGCTAATGTTACTGTTAATGTTACTATGTTACTGTTAATGTTACTATGTTAATGTTAATGTTAATGTTACTATGTTAATGATAATGTTACTGTTAATGTTACTGTTAATGTTACTATGTTAATGTTACTGTTAATGTTACTATGTTAATGTTACTATGTTAATGTTACTGTTAATGTTACTATGTTAATGTTACTGTTAATGTTACTATGTTACTGTTAATGTTACTGTTAATGTTACTATGCTAATGTTACTGTTAATGTTACTATGCTAATGTTACTGTTAATGTTACTATGTTACTGTTAATGTTACTATGTTAATGTTAATGTTAATGTTACTATGTTAATGATAATGTTACTGTTAATGTTACTGTTAATGTTACTATGTTAATGTTACTGTTAATGTTACTATGTTAATGTTACTATGTTAATGTTAATGTTACTGTTACTGTTAATGTTACTATGTTAATGTTACTGTCAATGTTACTATGTTAATGTTAATGTTACTGTTACTGTTAATGTTACTATGTTAATGTTACTGTCAATGTTACTATGTTAATGTTACTGTTAATGTTACTATGTTACCGTTAATGTTAATGTTACCGTTAATGTTAATGTTACTGTTAATGTTACTATGTTAATGTTACTGTTAATGTTACTATGTTACTGTTAATGTTACTGTTAATGTTACTATGCTAATGTTACTGTTAATGTTACTATGTTACTGTTAATGTTACTATGTTAATGTTAATGTTACTATGTTAATGATAATGTTACTGTTAATGTTACTGTTAATGTTACTATGTTAATGTTACTGTTAATGTTACTATGTTAATGTTACTATGTTAATGTTAATGTTACTGTTACTGTTAATGTTACTATGTTAATGTTACTGTCAATGTTACTATGTTAATGTTAATGTTACTGTTAATGTTACTATGTTAATGTTACTGTTACTGTCAATGTTACTATGTTACTGTTAATGTTAATGTTACTGTTAATGTTACTGTTAATGTTACTGTTACTGTCAATGTTACTATGTTACTGTTAATGTTACCGTTAATGTTAATGTTACTGTTACTATGTTAATGTTACTATTAATGTTACTGTTAATGTTACTATGTTAATGTTACTGTTAATGTTACTATGTTAATGTTACTGTTAATGTTACTATGTTAATGTTACCGTTAATGTTAAAGTTACTGTTCAGAGAACATTCAAAAGTAACGTTCTCATAATGTTTGTAGAATTATACAGTGGAACGCTCCCTTAACGTTCACATAACCAAGAAGAAACGCTTTTGAAACATTTAAAAAACTGGACGTTCAGAAATAAAGTTTTGATAACTTAATGATCCGTTCTTTTGGCTCTTGATATAAGAACGCCTCAGACTCCAGTGAGGAGGATGATGATCGCTCTGAGTTTGTGTAGGAAGCGCTTTAAATTCTCTCGTCATCTCTTCGGTGGGTTTGTGAAGAGAAGTGTGAAACTTTCCTCTGTTCAGACTTCATTTACAATCTGCTCACGGAGCTCAGCGAGGACACGAGAGCGCTGGTCTATATGAAGCTCGGCCGCCCCTCTCTCTCTCACACTGAAGCCGCTGCTCTCCGTCTCAGAGAACTACAGCCTGTCATCACGGCTCACCACAGAAGCGTCCCAGAAACGCCCAGCGATCAATCACACGACAGCGCCGGATCAAACGAACACTGCGTTTTTAACTCATCCTTCAGCATCTTTGTAAAGCTCAATCACATTATGATAGATTCATAAAACAATCAATCACCGCTGCTCAGATCAGGGATCTAGTGTAAATAAACTTCAGCTGTTGGTTTCTAACATGACCACCTTGCGATCTCTTGTGTGTATGTGTGTGTGTGTGTGTG